ATGTCATTTTTTAGAGTTAAGAAAATCGCGTCGAGTTACTATTTTAATAATTGTCTAATCGACTCTGTAACATGTATGAATGATCTTGGAATCTATTTGGATCATAGACTTGACTTCCGAGAGTATATTTCTTTGACTATTAATAAAGCATATAAAAGTTTGGGCTTTATAAAAAGATGGAGTAAAGCATTCTTGGATCCATTAGTTTGTAAACAACTTTACATTTATTTTGTGCGCTGCATCTTAGAGTATGGGTCTTTAATATGGGATCCAGGATACGTCATTCATTCTAATTTGTTAGAGTCCGTTCAAAAGCAATTTTTATTATTTTGTCTTCGTCGTCATAGTTGGACCCAACAAAAATTGCCAAGTTATGAACATAGGTTAAACCTAAGAAAGCTACCTACTTTGAAAAGCCGCCGTACTATGCTAAATGTAACTTTTTTATTAATGGTCATTCATGGGAAGATATTGTCAGATGTTATTCTAGATAAACTTCACATAAACGTACCATACAGACCAACGCGAAACTATCAATTGCTTCATATAAATTATTATTCTACAAACTATGCCAATATTGATCCTTTACGTCGTCTCTTCCTTGAATTTAATAAATTTTATAATTTAATTGATCTAACAGAGAGTCGCGATTCTTTAAAACGGAAATTGACTTTGCACTTAAACAGAGTTTAGTTTCTAAACCTCTACATTTTTTTTTTCTTTTATAAAAATAAAAAAAAATTTAATTGTATATAGCAATTTAGTTTTTAATTTAGTCTGTAAGGATTTGTAATCTAGACTTAAGAAAAATAATAAAAAAAAATTCAGCACAACTTCCCTTTTTTCGAAATTCGAAAATTGCAATTCCAACGGACACTACATGCCTTGCCTGCAAAAAATTCTTTAAAATATGTTGCCTTTCAATGAGGAAAGCCATCGAACAGCAACCCATTACAAAAAATTAGCAATTTATTGCTATTTGAAATCAGCCCTAACATCAAAATAGCTCAGCACCAAAATAGCAACACGGCGGCTACTGCTTAGCAAGGCTTTCAGCCAATAAAAACAAATATTTATTATTGAGTTCAGTGTTGTTTATAAAAAAGTTATACTGTATGAAATGCTATAAAAATCACGATTTTATACATATGGTATTTTCATATATAGACAATATGCAAATGTTATTAAAGCCTATCAATTTAAATTTTGTTCTACTTTTATGAGATATTAGCTGGCCCAGTCCACGTTGCCGACCCTTAGTTTTAGTCTTGGTTCACATGAGTGGCACAATTTTTTGTATGAATGATGACTCGATTAAATAGAAATAAATACGTCTTTCAAAAAACCCGATCCTTTTTTTCAGTAAGAGGTTTTAGTTTGAGAGTTAAAAACCTAAATAATATAGCATATATATTAAAAAGTATTTATTAACTGTTTATAATAGGTCCATGTACGATGGTTCTCTACCCCCTAAAGTAGCCTAAACACACATGTGAAGTCAAATCGATTCGAAAATATAAGCAAAACTCTCGAAATAGGTAAAATCCGGAGGTACGTTTATATGAGCCCTACTTCAAAACATTGACATTGAAAAATTTCCGCGAAGATTACTTCTACCAGAAGCTAGATGCCAAATAAGGGCAAAATCAATTGAAAAATGTGACCAAGACCCTGGTAATAGCTAAAATTAACGGATACCTTCACATAAGAGTTATAATGAAGCATGGTTCTATACTTATAATTATTTGAAATTTGAATTTGTTTTTCTTTCTAAAATCTCAAATTACCAACATTTGAGGAATTTGATAGGGGCTATATCACAATGTAGACCAAACTGACACATATTTTGTACAAATGATTTGATTGCGGTGTATAGGGCAAAATATTTGCGGCCCTTTGTGTATGGTTAAGCTATATAAAATGTACTCTAAAAAAGTTAGATCCGGGAACCCCCCTCTTAGGATTTTACCTATGATTTAAGGTTACTTTTAAGGGTTCAGAAGAATTTTCCGAGTTTATGAATCCTTTTCTTACTATATTTTCAATTACTCCACTATTTTGTATAGGCAGCATATTAGAGTGTCTTTTCATATTCGGTATTACACTGATTGAAGTCCCAATGAATTTTGCATTTTGAGTTCTCATTGGATGAAATCTTTCCATATCTAATCAAAATGGAAAATTTGGTTATGGCAACCATATAACAGCATGTATAGAAAATATGCATTCTTTCTCGATTTTTTCGTTGTTTTTTTTTCAATAAAAATTTTCAATTCCAAAAGGAAGTCTGAAACAATTCTACACAAAATTCCATATTATGATAGAACAGTCATTTTTTTCAGTTCCGCGATTTTTTTCAAAATTTTTACTGTAACTACAAGTAACCAAAAGAAAATTTGAGTCAAATCGGCCTAGCCGTTCTCAACAGATGTGTTACTAATTTTTTTCCTATTTTTTACAAATAAATTTAAAGAAGTAGGTGTGGCCAGTTCCTCTAAAACAAAAAAATACCTAGGGTTGGGAGGAGGGGAGTATACTACGTATACTAACTGTGGAACAGATATCTTCATGATTTTGGTAAATATTAGGATTCGATTAAGATCTAAAAAAATGGGCGCGGTTGGGCGTGGTAACTTTTTCTTTGCATAAAACATAAATCGGGGCAGGACGAACATTTAAAAAATATCCAAATAGTTCCAGCCGGTCTTAACTGATCCAATTACCAACGAACAACAATTGGTTTATATATAGATTAGAAAGTAGGCGTGGTCAGTTCGTCAGCCCACAAATAAATACTTAGGATTGGGGGCAAAGTCAACAGTATGTCGCGTAATAATTTTAAAACCGATATCTTCATTATTTGGCAAATATAATGATTTTAGATAAATCAAAATAGTGGGCGTAAAAGTAGGCGTTGTCAATAATTTTTTCTTTAAAAACCAAACTAGGGGTATGACGAACGTTTGTAAAAAATATAATGCAAATCGGTCCAGTCGTTCTCAACTGATTCCATTACCAACGAACAAAAATTGATTTATATATATATATATATATATATATATATATATATATATATATATATATATATATATATATATATATATATATATATATATATATTAGTATTATAAAGGTCTTAGCAATATTTTCCAAGTCAAAAGTAATTTTAGAATTCGTAACTTTTAGAAGATCATGTTATAAGGTATTTAGTTTTTACCAGTCGATTAAACTATGTCTGTCTGTGTATGCGGGCATTCGTTGAAATTGCAATAAAGGCGAAATATTTAGTTTAATCTTTGAACTACAATATTCCTAGGAAGTTAGAATATATCAGTTTCGTTTAGGTATAATAATACCACTAAAAATTCGTCCTTTTGCTTGTTTTCGTTACAATTTCTACCGAATTATCTGTAACTTGACATTTCAAGTTTTCGGTATTGTGAAATCAATACCGGAAATATCTGGCTACTATTGGTTCTCCATTAGACATAGCCTCCATTTAAAAGTACGTTGAGATTATTAATGTTTTGATGCTTTAAAAATTATTTTTTAGTCAAAATTGAAAATTTTGGTTTGTCAACCATACAAGGGCATGTACAGAAAATAAGCAACATTTCTCGATTTTTTCGGTTTTTTTTTTCAAATAAGAATTTTAAATTCCAAAAGGCATTTTGAAACAATTCTACAAATAACTCCATATCAAAATAGAAAAATTAATTTTTTTAGTTCCGCGATCTTTATAGAGGCTTTTCTCAACATTTTCTTTCATGAAAATGTTTCTACTATAATTACAAATAACCAAAAGAAAATTTGAGTCAAATCGGCCCAGCCGTTCTCAACTAATGTGTTACTATACTTTTTTAAATTTTTTACATACAGATTTAAAGAAGTAGGTGTGGGCAGTTCCTCTGACCACAAATAGATACCTAAGGTTGGAGGGAGAGCCAAGATTACGTCATATACTAACTGTGGGACAGATATCTTCATGATTTTGGCAAATATTAGGATTTCAGGTAAATTAAAAAAGGCGTAAGATTGGGCGTGGTCACTTTTTCTGTGAATAAAAACATAACTCGGGGTAGAACCAATATTTAAAAAAAATTATCCATATCCATATATATAGATTAAAAAGTAGACGTGGCCAGTTCCCCAGCGGCCAAATAAATACCTAGGACTGGATGGAAGGTCAACAGTATCTCATATAATAGTTTTCTAGCCGATATCTTTATTATTTGGCAAATATAAGGATTTTTTTTTTCTTTAAAAACCTAACTCGGGGTATGACGAACGTTTGTACAAAAAATTATGCAAATCGGCCCAGCCGTTCTCATCTTATTCCATTACCAACGAACGTAGTTTCAGTTTTTAATGAATAGTTTTTAAAGTATAATAATTCACAGATCTGGTTTACATAAGTGGCACAATTTTTAGTATAAATGATGGCCCGACTAAATAGATATAAATACACATTGCCAAAACACACGCAAATACCTGATCCTATTTTTCAACCAGAGTTTTTAATTTGAGAGTTAAAAACCTAAATAAAAAATCACATATATTAAAAAAAAATATGCATCAACTGTTTAAAATAGTCCCATGTAAGATGGTAAGCCAAATCGATTCAAAAATATAATCAAAACCCTCGAAATTGGAAAATCAGGAGGTACTTTTATATGGGCGCTTCTCCGAAACATTGACATTGAAAACCTTCCGCGAATAGGTCTTTTACCCCTTTAGAAGCTAAGATGCCAATTAAGGGTAAAATCAATTGAAAAATGTGACTAAGACCCTGGAATTAGCTGAAATCAGCGGACACCTTCATATAAGGGATACACCAAAGCGTGGTCCAATACTTATTATTTGAATGAATGTGTTGTTCTTTCTAAAATCTTAAATTAACAATATAGGTACACTTTGTCATTTTACTTTATTGCTTCTATTAAATCGCAATAATTGGCAAGAGAATCATCATCATTGACATCACCCCTTACTGTAACGTAATGGGGTGGGTCTATGTGACTGGTTACTGCATCTAAGAACTGTATAATGACGCTGTTAGAACAATCTCAACAACTTCAATCCCAACTATGGTTGCTTGAGATTGGTCAAGGCCCTGGGCCAGGGAGCATTTGGTGAGGTCTATCAAGCCCTGTATCGTCATCGTGACGGCGATGCCGTAGAAATGCCGGTGGCCGTCAAGACCCTACCCGAAATGTCCACACGCCAGGCGGAGGAGGACTTTTTAATGGAGGCTGCCATAATGGCGAAATTCAATCATCCCAACATGGTCCATCTGATAGGTGTTTGCTTTGATCGCCATCCACGTTTCATTGTTTTGGAGCTGTTGGCTGGTGGTGATTTGAAAAACATTTTACGCGAGGGACGCCACAAACCGGAAAGACCCTCTCCCTTGACCATGAAAGATTTGGTATTTTGCGCCTTGGATGTGGCCAAGGGTTGCCGTTACATGGAGAGTAAACGTTTCATACATCGCGATATAGCGGCCCGCAATTGTTTGCTGAGCAGTAAGGGTCCCGGTCGAGTGGTAAAAATTGCCGATTTCGGTATGGCCAGAGATATTTATCGCAGCGATTATTATCGCAAGGGTGGCAAGGCTATGCTGCCCATCAAATGGATGCCACCCGAGGCATTTTTGGATGGCATTTTTACGTCCAAAACGGATGTTTGGTCGTTTGGAGTTTTATTGTGGGAGGTCTTTAGCTTGGGCTTAATGCCCTATACCGGCCTCCCAAATTCCGAGGTAATGCAATTGGTTACTAACGGTGGCCGTTTGGGCACACCACCCGGTTGTCCACCGGTCATCTATAAAATCATGGCCGATTGCTGGAATCCCACACCAGAAGATCGTCCAACATTTTCTAGTCTCCTGGAGCGCCTCAAGGCCGTAACAGAGGATCCCACTGTTATGAATGCTCCATTGCCCCACATATTACGCCCGCCCTCTAATGAACGCGATCAAACCATTATACGGCCGCAGGGTGTCGATGATGTTTGCCTGCAGGTACCAACCACATCCGATTACTTGATACCCCTGCCGGGTATCACACATCTACATCAACAGCAACAACAGTTGCAACAAGCCACTCAGCAACAACAACACGACATAATCGATCCTAGCTGTCCCATGGCTATATCGACTGGAACCAATATCTGTACACCGCCCGGCGTGTCATCACCCTCGGCACCACAGCACACGCAGCTGCTGAAAGAGGACGAGCACACCAATGCCACCAACGAGGGATGCTGGGAGACATAATTTATTTTACCCAACTCGAAAAGTGATCAGCCACTGCTCAACAACAACAATTCGAGTGGATCGCAGAAGAGCATCAACACCGCTTCCATTGGGGCCCAAGGCCCGGGCAATACGAGCGGTTACAGCAGCAGTAGTCAGCGATCGCCCGTCTCGAATGGCCTAAGGACAATACAATCTTCTTCAGCAACGCCGGCCCACGAGGATGAGGAGACGAAACTCATCAGCTCAGATACGCCACAGCCAACACCAACCACAATACAGCCAGGAGCAGCTTTGGAAAGCGATTATTTTCTTTAAACATCTCAAAGGACTATAAATCTGTGGAAGCGATTGAAAGAATCTAGGTGAAAGAATTGTCTGCAATTAAGAATTTTGAACAAAATTGAGAAACAGCCACAATTGCAGAAATCTGTTTTGTGTCCTGGATATAGAATATGAACATGCAAATTTGTACTTATTTGGAATCCTATCGATTAACGATTGTATCAACAGTATATAATTTAAATCTGCAATCAATTATTCGCGCCTGGTTGGAATCCTGCAAGTTATTATGGTCTTTATAAGCAATCTGGCATTCATAACAACAATAAACCATTCGTAAGTTTGCAGAATTTGGAGATGTGCTGAATTGTATTCCTTACTCTCTGTATCTATTATTTGGATTAGTATTTTAGTAATTATTTTTAACATTTCTTCTGTTATTGTTCCATAATTTTTTTTCCATTTCTTTATTGTTGTGTAAACTCCTTCCCCGAAGCATCATCATGCTAAGATCACCTCAACGAGCAGATGGTCGGGTTTCGAGCGAAAATGATACATCGGATAGTAATGCCACGTTAGACACTAATCCAAACGCACAATCGGTGTTATCAAATAGTTCTAATATGACAGGTCAATCGAATAGGTTTGAGGTTTCTGCTGCTTCTATAAAATTGCCGGGGTTTTGAACAAATTGTCCGGAGGCATGGTTCGTTCATGCTGAAATGCAATTCGCAACTAAAGGGATATCTTTGGATAAGACGAAGTACGAATATGTGGTTACAGCTTTACCTCAGGAGGTTATTATGTCTGTTTTGGATGTCATTAAGAATCCAACAAATAACAACATCTATGAAGATTTAAAAAGTGTGTTGATAAAACGACATTTTTTGAGCGATAGCCAACGTATAGATAGGATGTTAGCTGATTCTGAAATGGGAGATCAGAAGCCATCAGAATTTTACAGATCCATGTTATTAACGGCTGAAACTCAGTTTAGTCAGGATGTTTTAAGAAGACTCCGGTTACGAAGGTTGCCAAAAAATCTCAATGTTGCATTAATGGGATCAAATTTGTCTGACATGAACCAGCTGATTCAGTTAGCGGATAATATTTGGGAGGTACTTCAGAAAGAGGAGTTATCTGCGCTAGGAGTATCCGCTGCATCGGGAAATGCATCGCAAGTTCCAGACATGGGTAAGGTAGTAGAAGGCTTGGTTCAGGCTACGAGTAACATTTGCCAAGGGTTTGACAAACTTTCGTTTGAGGTTTCCACAATGAAGCGTCAATTTGAAGAATTGCAACATCGCGGTAGAAGAGAGGGATTTAGAGGAAACAGGCCACGATCGGAAAGTAGGAAAAGAGGTTGGTTGTGTAGATTCCATTACAGATTCGGCAAAGATGCAAGAAATTGTGAGCAGCCTTGTTCGTATGTTGAAAATAATGATTCAAAAAATTAGTCAAGCCCGTTGTGAAAACGACTAGCAATGGGTGCGCAAAGATATCAACACGTCGCTTATTTGTGTATGACAGATATATGATATATCGATTTTGCCGGCATCAAAATTTAGAAATGAAAAGAGAGTCTCCGATGTGGTGTTGACGGCTGCGAACGGTTCAACGATTCGGACATATGGGAAAAAATTATTGAAAGTGGATTTAGGATTACGCCGTGACTTTCAATTCGGGTTTACATTAGCGAATATAAGTAGGCCGATAATAGGAGCGGATTTCCTTCATAAATACGGATTGTTGGAAGATGTTAGAAATAAAAGCTTGGTGGATCCTTTGACAAATTTGAAAGTATCCACATGTTTGCAACTATGTTCCATTCAGTTGCCTAGGATTTTTGCTTACGAAGATCAATATACGAATTTACTAAAGGAGTTCCCCTCATTGACATCAGAGCCCGACTATACAAAGCCGGTCAAACATTCGACTGTGCATAAGATTATAACTAATGGGACGTTACCCTACACAAAACCCAGGCGGTTGGATCATATGAAGTATAAAGTGGCTAAGTCTGAATTTGAGTATCTAGTTAAATGCGGTGTTTGCCGACCTTCTGATTCGAGCGTGGCTTCTGCTCTGCATTTGGTCCCCAAGAAGGACCCTAATGATTGACGTCCTTGTGGTAACTTTAGACAATTAAACGCCGTCACAGTCCCAGATATATATCCTATACCACATATACACGACTTAAACATGAACTTAAACGGGAGACGAGTGTTTTCAACTATAGATTTAGTTCGGGCTTATCATCAAATTCCAATGGCTCCAGAAGATGTACACAAGACAGCAATTACGACACCATTCGATATGTTTGAATTTGTTCGAATGCCCTTTGGGTTGAGAAACTCGTCTCAAACTTTCCAGCGCTTCATAAATGAGGTTTTCAAGGGCCTAGATTTTGTATTTGTTTACATTGACGATGTATTAGTTTTTAGTGAAAAAGAAGAGGAACACTTAAAGCATCTGAGTGTGGTATTTAGTAGGCTACAGGAATACGGATTGAATATCAAGCCAGGCAAACGTGTATTCGGAGCAACATATGTCGATTTTTTAGGAAACAATGTTTCAGAAGAGGGAATTAGGCCACCAGACGAGAAGGTCTCAGCCATTCGCGATTTTGAGAAACCAAATACAGTTAAATTAATGCAGAAATTCATGGGTATGATCAATTATTATCACAGGTATATTTCCGGATTGGCGGAATTGTCTAGTCCTATACATGATATGATAAATAATGCATTGAATAATAAGAAGAAAATTATTACGTGGAATGATAGAGCTGAGAAAGCATTCGTCGACATAAAGAAAGCCTTCGCATCACGAATAATGTTGAGTCATTTTGATGGTAAATCGAGACTAACATTGACGGTCGATGCATCAGGCACTGCCATAGGAGGGGTTTTACAACAAGAACGTGGTAGTGTTACGGAGCCTTTAGCATTCTTCTCAAGGAAATTGTCCGATACAGAAGCAAAGTATAGTGCGTTTGATCGCGAGTTACTGGCGATTCATGACAATATAAAACATTTTCGCTATATACTTGAAGGAAGATATTTTACTGTGTATACTGACCATAAGCCATTGACACGTGTTTTGGAGTCAAAACAGAGAGGAGTCCTAGACAGATCCGACAATTATAATACATTTCCCAATTTACGAATGATATTCAATATGTGCGGGGGACCTCCAACGTAGTAGCTGATACACTTTCAAGGACATTTGATATAGGTGCATTGAATAGCTCCGATTTGAATTTACAATTATTGTGTGCTGAGCAGCAAAAAGATGACAATCTGGCACAGATTACGCGAAACAAGGAGAAATATCATAATTTGAAGTTGATTGAAATTCCGTTATTTAACGTCAATGTTTGGTGCGAAGTGTCGCAAGGGACACCGCGACCATACATACCACTAGCGATGCGTAGAATTATATTCGATAAGATGCATTCTGTTTCCCACCCAGGTGCTAGAGGTACCCGTCGGATGATTTGTAAGAGGTATTATTGGCCAGGCATGAGCAAGGAAATAAACGTTTGGGCAAAGGAGTGTATAAGTTGTCAGAAATCGAAGATTACTAGCCATACAAAATCGTCAGTGACAAAAATTGATATTCCGAAGGGTAGGTTTGAACATACGGAACGGTCGATCTTTACAGCATCCATATGAAGGACCGTATAAAGTAGTAGAAACAGATAAGAAATGTTTCAAACTAGAAATTGACGGGAATATTAGAACTATATCGATAGATAGGATTAAACCGGCCTGTGTCGAACCGGCCTTTGTCGAGAATACTGAAACTCAGAATGAGATTAAAAAAGTCAAGCGAGTTACCTTTAATTTGTTGAAGATTAATGCTTCAGGAGAGGGAGTAGTGTAGGTACACTTTGTCATTTTACTTTACATTTAGTTAATTATATGCATGCTAGTTCACATTGTTTCAATTTTTACATTTGTTTAGTTTGTAAAAACATTTTCATTCATTTCAATTTTGAACTTAAATAAAATATTATTCATTTTTATATAAAACAAATTGTGTCACCACAGAACTATCCGATGTATCATTAGTGTCTAACGGGCCATTACTATCCGATGTATCATTTTCGCTCGAAACCCGACCATCTGCTCGTTGAGGTGATCTTAACATGATGATGCTTCGGGGAAGGAGTTTACACAACAATAAAGAAATGAAAAAAAAATTATGGAACAATAACAGAAGAAATGTTAACAAGTAAAAAAGCTGTAAGTTCAGCCGGGCCAAACTTTTAATACCCTCCACCATTTGGTACAAATTTGGCAATTTCCAAAAAAAAAATAAAATAAATAAATAAATAAAAAAAATCCTTTAAAAATTCTGTTAAAATCTTAAAAATACCGAATGTCTATACGACGACGTATACCTGTATAGGCAACTTTTGTCATAAGTTATTACAACATTTAAATGCGAAACTTGAAGAAAAATTTGTTTATAATGTAGCTAAAATCATCAAAATACCGAATATAGGGGGTACCGTTATATGGGGGCTATACGAAGACGTGGACCTGCACAGACAATTTTCTGGCATGGGCTGAAGTATTCATTACGAACTTCAAATGCGAAGTTTAAAACAATCCCGGTAAATAATGTCGCTAAAATCATCAAAATACTGAATATCGGGGGGTACGGTATATGGGGCCTATACGAAGACGTGGACCTACATGGTCCATTTTCTGTTTTCTGCTGCAGTATCTATTACGAACTTCAAATACCAAATTTGGAACGGTTCCGTTAAATAATGTCGCAAAAATCATCAAAATACCGAATATCGGGGTGGGGGGGGGGGGGGGGGGGTACGGTATATGGGGGCTATAGGAAGACGTGGACCTACATGGCTCATTTTTTGACTTAGGATGTAGTATCCATTACGAACTTCAAATACCAAATTTGGAACGGTTCCGTTAAATAATGTCGCTAAAATCATCAAAATACCGAATATCGGGGGGTACCGTTATATGGGGGCTATACGAAGACGTGGACCTGCACAGATA